CGCTGCCTCCTGTTCTGCCTCCACTGTTTCTGAGGTGCAGCAACCAGACTTGACACAGAATTCCAGATGCAGAACAGATGTCATTGCCAAGCAGGCCTGGGGGCTCCTAGCTCTGTGGGTTGGTGGAAAGGAGGAGGAGGAATGGCTCTGATGGGGGAGGACCCCAGTCCCACTGGTCGGGGTGGGAGGTGGCGGTGATGACAGTTGGAGGGAGAGAAGAAAACCAGAGAGAGAATGTTCTGGGCCTGACATGCAGAGAAGTGGAATCCTTGTCCCTGGGGCTGGCTGGCTGCCACCAACTACTGCCTCACCGCTGAGGCCGAGGCATCCTCTGGATTTGAGGGGATGTGGGGTTGCTGGGGTCCGGGAAGCAGAGGCTCAGTAAGCCCTCTCTCAAGTGCAGGCCTGAGCACACAAGCTGGTGCAGAGCCAAGACTTCCAGATGGTTCCATAAGGGGCTCAATTACCTTGTCACATAGTTTGGAGGACGGAACTCTGGCAAGTGAGTGGAGCATAAAGGAGAAAAAGGTGGTCACAGGAGGAAGGTATTTTTAATCATACTACCCACGCGGCAGGAGAAGAGGTGATGTAGAGTGCTCCCCAGTCCCGGCAATGTTTTAGTACAGAATTTCTTTCATTGTGAGTTTGCTGTTCTGTCTCGATGCTTTTTAAGGATTTTGTTAGGTATCTAATAGGTGCCACATCGTATGCTAGGTTTCCATGTGTATTATTCATGTCATACCTAGCCCTGAAGGGAGTCCTATAATTTTTACGGATAAGGAAATTGACGCTCGGAAAAGCATAAGGAGCTATGTGTCTTCTCTTTTTGAGTGCGTCTTCACATGTCCACTCATCTGTTCAAGGAATGCTTATTGAGCACCTGCTATGTACCAGGCACTGTTTTAGGTAATGCTGACTAGAACAATAACCTCCAGCTTGTTGCCCCATGGGGAGAAAGGCAAACCAAAAATCTAGCGCGCTAACTGCAGTGACCCAGGTGCCTGGGTCCCATGGGGCAGAAAAAGGGGAGGCATCTTAATCAGACCCCGGGATGGCAGAGCCATTGAGGGGCGAGAGGGCAGCATGAGCAAGGCGCATGGAACAACAGTGTGCTTTCAGAGAACGGGAAGTGGTGTGGCCCGGTGGGGACACAGGGTCACGGAGAACAGGAGGGAGGCAGGCTGAGTGTGGCTTTCCTGTCAAGTCCGCTGAGGCTGAGCCTGTCTCCTCAGGATCACAGATGAAGGCAATGCTGCCTTCCCTGTGTCCCAGGCAACCGTCCCAAGCTTCCTTCCAGCTGTTATGGGCGGGGCTTAGTGTGTGGTAAGGGAGGTGGCCAAGGTCGGGGGCAGGGAGGGAGGTTTCTGGAAGAAACTTGTGTCTCCTGGGAGAAGAGAGAGGTGATGGTGTCATGGAGGATTTGCCCTTGCTGACCGAAGACAAGTTATAAATCTGTTGGGCCCTGAAATTCAAAAGTGACAAGGCACTGATGTTTGCAGCAAGTTCTCGGCTTAATGAAGGAGGCCTCTTTGCTTCGTCCCCCACCCCTACCCCCAGCCTCTTTCCAGAGAGTTCATTGAAGAATGGAATCCTGGCTAATGCCAGGCTCCCACTAATCCGAAGAAGCAGCATTGAGCTGGCCCCAGGGCTCAGCAGTGAATCTCCTTTCTGTCTGGGTTCCAGTTGGCCTCGTAAAATCTAATTTATCCTGTAAGTGGGTAAAATAATCTGTCAGAGAAAGCAGATTGAGAGATGGCTGTGGGGCTCCCAAGCAGAGAAGCTCTGTGTCTCTGGCAGAGTCCCACCGAGGAGACTGAGGAGAAGGGGTTGTGGGAGAGGGAGGGCCCCTCAAGGCCGAAAGCTGGCCAGCAGCAGGTGTGCGGTGTGTCCGCCCCAGTCCGGACAGGGAGAACTGAGAGGTACTCATGGGGGTGCTTGGGGGCAGAGAGCTGGGGGTGGCAGGAGAGGGGTGGCCACGAAACCATGGGGCAAGCATGGCCCACTCCCCAGAGCATCACCTTTACGAGAAGATTTGGCGGTGAAGGGACCACATTTAGATGAAAACAAACGTGGGTGTGTAACGGAGCAGAACGCAAAATGTGCCAAAGGTTTAAAAAATAAGTACATTTCAGGCAGTCAGCAAGCCTCCTGAGCATGCTCTCCTCTGCTGCTGGGAGAATTTTGGTTAAAAGGAGAAATGTGGCAACTCTTCATTTTAAGGCTGGGGAAACCGAGGCTGAAAGGAGGAAGTCGGACCCAAGGTCGTACAACACATGATGCGCCCAGGACTCTGACTCCAGGCCAGGGCTTGTCTGTCCCACCCCATCCCGCTGTCTGTGTAGGCGAAAGGAAGGATGGCTCCATGATGTGAGACTCAGGGAGAAACTTCCCCCCAGGGGAGGTGGGGGCAGCTTCATGGAAGGACGCGGCACCTGAGCGAAGCCCCTGGAAATGCACGTCCCGGGCACAGAAGGTGCATTGGGCACTGAGGCAGAGAGAACCCTCTTACTGGGGAGCAACTGTCTCCTCAATGCTGGGTTCATCCCCAGGATGTCAAAGAAAGACAGTTTCCCGAGACTGTCTCGCAGAGAGTTGAGGACCCCCCCCCCGGCCACCGCCCCTTTCTGGGCCTCAGTGTCCCCATCTATAAAATGAGGAATCTTAGGCTCCGTGTCCATTTCCGTCGACGTGGGCGGCTTGTACTCTCGGCACAGCCTTGTACTCTCAGGGGGGGACCCCGGTTTCTCCCCACTTCTCCATCCCTGTTGGTTTCCCATCCCTCCTTGCCTTGTTGGGTGCTGAGCTCCTCCGAGGTGGGGCAGCCAGACATCTGCTGATCTATGAATATTCAGGAAGGGAATCGGAGCCTCCTCTGGGCTCCCCAGCCAGCCGCGGCCCCTCTGGCCGCCGTCCTGCCCGCGCCCGAGCCCAGGCTGCTGACAGACCCGGCAGCTGCTCGGGCCCCAACTGTTCACATTGTTTGTTCTGCACGGCGGGGGATTTTCCAAGCCCCGGACGTGCTTTGGGGGGCAGGGAGGCTGCTGGAGGGCTCAGGGATTCGTGTCATGTGGGGCTTTTCTCCCCCTGAAACTCAAACCGACTGCTCACTGGCTGGAACAGGGCAATTGGAAGCCTCTGGGCTGAGAGCCCGGGCTGGCCTTCCCCCTACCGTGTTTGCATCAGAATCGAGGGCCTCAAAGATAGAAGGAACTGGATGTTAAGAATAATGATTAGCATTTATGCATCCCCTTCCAGTTTATGAAGTGCCTTTAAAGCATGAGCTCCCATCTCTTGACTGATGCCCGTTAGGCTCTGGGCTGGAGTCCTAGCATACATCATCTTGTTTAATCCTCACGGGCTCCATACTATCACCTCTACTTTACAGATGCGGAAACTGAGGCCCAGAGAGGTTGAGTGGCTTGTCACATAGCTGGCAGGTGGAGCAGCAAGACTGGAACCTAGATCTTCTGCCCCAAGGTCAAATGCTCTCTCCACCGCAGCAAGTGGCCCTCAGTGATGCAAGTGCCGGTTTGGTTTCCCAAATTAGAATGGAAACCGGGTGAGGGAAGGGCTGCCTTCTCCTCACTGCACCCATCAGTGAGGCTGAGCCCAGTTGTGTAGTTGGAGGTGTGAGCAGAGCCTTTCTGACATATTAAGAAAGGCAGTGGGGGAGGGTAGAGCTCAGTGATAGAGCGCGTGCTCAGCATACCCGAGGTCCTGGGTTCAATCCCCAGTACCGCCATTTGAATAAATAAACAAACAATCCAAACTACCAACCTCCCCCAAAAAGAAAGAGAGACAGAGGCCTGTTCAGGCCCCTTCTGTCTGTCTGTCCTTCACACTGCAGTGTCAGAGCCCAGCCTCCTTATCTTATCCAGTCAGGATTTCTCTTTGCTTCTCCGTCTTGTACCCCTTTAGGGGTGGTGGGAAGAGGGCCTGGGGACAGACCCAGGTTCTAAGTGTTGCCATATATGTTGTGTCCAGGTGTTGACGAGTGTGGCAGAGATTGGGGTGCACATGTTCAGGTGTGGAAAGTTGTCTGTAGTTTTGTGTCTGGATGATCTGTATTTGTTCAGGAATGAGTGTGTCCGGTTCACGGAATAACCCTAACATCATAGACTCTCAGACCTCACCTGCTACGTTTGAATAAACTAGAGCCCGGATGGGGAAGTGACTGGCCCAAGGCCACACAGCTAGACTGTGACAGTCAGGTCTAGACCTGAGGGTCGCCAGATTCCCTAACCCTTGGGGAGCTCTGTCACTCATGCCTGCCTAAAAATGAGTGTGGGCCATTGTCTTTACCTCTATCCCTGGCTCACTCTCAGACACACAATTGCCTTTAAGCATGGTGTCAGGTCAAAGGATTAGAGGAGACCTTGGGCCACTGAGCTTTGGTGGGACAGGGAGGCAGCAGGTCAGCCTTCTGGGAGATACAACTTGGGGAACCAACCATTTCTCTCTGAATAGCGGTCACCGGGCCTTGCTGAAATGTTGGTTAAAATAATAAACATTGATATCTGTGTGTTTTTGCCTTGACGCCGGGATGGTGTTCCCTTCCTCTGTTGTTCCCCTGCTCTTCCCTTTGGGGCCAGGGCAGTGTTGGAGCTGCAGGCTCTTCTGGGGCATCTGGAGAGGGTCAGGGGACTGGGTTCTGGCACTGGCTTACTGCGTGGCTCTGGGGGAATCAGCTGCGGAAAGGAGTGCTTACCTCCTCCAGTCCCTGGGGCAGAAGTGGGCGGGGTAATAGCGGTCGGTCGAGAGAGATCTGTAAGATTCCAGGAGAGGGGGTGACATTACCGAGCCCCGGCCACCCCTCTGTTGCACTCCTTTCCCGCACAGCAGCTCATTTAATGCTCACCCTGATGAAGGAACGACTGTGTCTTTTTAAACTGAGATACAATTCACATACTGCAAAAGTCACCATTTAAAGTGTACAAATCAGTGGTTTTCAGTACATTCACAAGGTTGTGCAACCATCCCCACTCTCTAATTCTAGAATATTTCATCACCCAAAAAAGAAACCTCAGATCCCTTAGCCATCATCGCTCCTCATTCTTCCCTCTCCCCTGTTCCTGGCAACCATTAATCTACTTTCTGTCTCTATGGATTTGCCTATTCTGGACATTTCACAGAAATGAGATCATGCAATATGTGGCATTTCGTAACTGGCTTCTTTCATTTTGCATTTAAGTTTCAAGGTCTTTCCACATTATAGCAAGTATCAGTACTTCATTTCTTTTGATGGCAGAGTAATATATTTACCCATTCTTCAGGTAACTGGGCATTTGGGTTGTGTCTACTTTTTGCTAAGAACTGTGATATTTTGTGGATGAGGAAGTTGAGCAGTGGGGGAGGATGGGCGCGCAGTGCAGCCATTGGCCCGAGATCAATTTGTAAGGGGTAGAGCCAGGATCCTGACACAGGTCTTTCCATGAGACATCTTTCTCTACAGTTTGCCCCAACTCCCTGGGGTGGGTGACTCGGGAGCTGGAGGCTGTGGGAGGTGGGAGGACACACACTGATGGCCCTGGTGCCCCCTCCTCTACACAGGGGAGCAGCCGTTGCCCCGGGAGACGGTCGTGTTGCTGAGCTGTGGAGCAGGGCCGCTGCAAGTGATCCTGGGCCCAGAGCAAGCTGCGGTGCTGGAGTGCAGTCTGGGGGTGGCTGCAGCCGGACCCCCCACCAGCGTCACGTGGAGCAAGGATGGGGGCGCCCTGCCTGAGCACGACCACCTCCGCCTGCTACCCAGTGGCTCCCTGTGGTTGTCCCAGCTGCCAGCCCCCGAAGGTAGTGACGAGCCAGCCCCTGGAGCCCCAGAGGTCATTGAGGGCAGCTATTCCTGCCTGGCCCGAGGGCCCCTAGGAGTGGTGGCCAGCCAGGCGGCGGTGGTCAAGCTTGCCAGTAAGTGCCGTATCTGGGATGAGCTGAGACCCACGAGATCTGGGGTGTGGGAGGTGGGGTCCGCTGCTAGTTACTTGCACAGAGGCTTGTCTCTGAGCCACTCCCCCTTTCCCTGCCTCCCAGCCTGCTCAGTGGGTCCCTTCCTGGTATGGTCTGCCTCACTGTTCAGTAGTCCCAATTCTTCCCTGCTCCTCTCTTCCTCCTCCTTTTCTCTCCCTGTGAGTTCGAGAGTCCAGACTTGTGCTCTCCTCCAGGAAGCCTGCCAGAGAGGCTGGTAAGAGTGTCAGGGGCACAAAGGTTCTCCCCACTCCCATAGCAGGTGGAGCATGTGGAGCCGAGCTGCCTTGTCCAGCCCACCCCTTGAGGGGCTCTGGGAAGGCACAGATCACCATGAAATAATTTGGGGGCCGGAAGAAATGTGTACCTTACTGGAGTCTGACCATATGGTGGTGTAAGGCAGGGGGACTTTGAAATTCATTCTGCCCGCAGCACCTGACCAGTCATCACCACTTTTCCTCCGACCGCCTCTTTCCAACTGTGTCTCCGTCGATCTGAATTTGCTCTGCTTGTGTTTCTGTTACCCTGTGTTTCTCTGTCTGTGTGTCCGTGTTTGGGTGCGTGCTTCACCGTCTATGCTCACTGTGGCCTCCCTTTCTCGTGTTCTTCTCCTGTCCCCACCCTTTCTCACTGTCCCCATCCCCAGCACTCGCGGGCTTCTCTCTGCACCCGGAGTCTCAGACGGTGGAGGAGAACGGGACCGCTCGGTTTCAGTGCCACATTGAAGGGCTGCCAGCACCCGTCATTACTTGGGAGAAGGACCAGGTGACAGTGCCTGAGGAGCCTCGGTGAGTGTCCTGCTGGGGAGTGGGGTATAGGTCCCAGGGTGCAGGCAGAGAGGGCTGGGGTTCTTAGAGTCAGGGTGGCTCTATTTGCTCCATTGCCTTTTTTGTTTTTTAATTCCTGCAAAGACTTTATTAGAATCACATGGAGGGCTGCTGCTCAAAAGCTCTTTGCCTTTTAAGACCACCTGACTTAGGAGCCAACCACCCACTGACGCTCAGCTCATTTCTGGTCCCAAAGAGAAGTTAGACAAGAAGTTTTTGCTCCCTGGGAGGAATGCCACCCACCAAGCTACAGGGCTTGGGTAGAGAGTAGTGATTGAATCCTTCAGCACCTGACCATTGTAGTCCAACCACCTCTTTATTGAGAAAGAGACCGAAGGCCAGAGAGGGGCTGTGCTTTATCCAAGGCCACGTGGTGAGCAATTGGCAGAATATTCGTTGTTCGTTCAGGTCCCCAGAGGCTGCTGGGAGCGTTTCTCTTTGCAGGTTTCTCTGGAGTTTCTACCCTAAGTGGATAACTTCTCTTCCTTTCTCGGTTCTATCCAATAAAGTGCAGCATCTGATAAATGGGTTGTGGAGGTCCTTCCTGTTTCACGCTCCCCTCTCCCCAGAAAGGCAATGGGGCCATCCCTGAGAAGCACTTCTAGGGCTAAAGAGAAGCAGAGGCTAGACCCAGGACCTGATCCCTAGTGCCGCCCCCTGGGCAGGCCCAGATGTACATGCAGCATGTCCAGAAAGCATAAGGCTCCTTTGCATCTGTGGTCTCAGAATTGGTCTCATGACTCGGTTGCCACCCCAGGAATTCATACATCTTTGGAAATGTGGCTCCAAAGGCCTCTCCCAGCCACCCTGCAGTCAGTCGTCCCCCTGCATCTCTCCAGCTGTATTACCAGCTCGCTCTCTCCTTTCCTGGTGGAGGTGGGTTTCCTTAGGCTCAGAAACGCTGGTTTCCAGATCTCCCTGCCCTGGAACTGACCTGTCTTCAGCATACTGAGTGTCCCAGCTTCTCTGACTTTTGCCCATGTCTGGGTAGGGGTGAAAGTGTAAGAGAAACTTGTAGATAGAAAAGCCCCAGGACATAGCTCTGCCACAGTTTTGAAGGAGGAAGAAGTAAGAGGTCAGGACATTTAACCCTGTTGACTTTGGTGATCAGGCAGCCCCACTGGCCCTCTGCAAGTCACTGCTTACTCAGCTTCATTCTCCCCATCTAGAAAATTAAAGGGGGAAAAAAATTAAAGGGTTGGACTAGATCATGGTTTCCAAAGTGTGTTCTTTGTAGAACGTTCATCCCAAAAGGTAACTCTTGAAAAAAAAGTATTCCATGGTCAAATAAGATCAGGAAACTGCCTATAAATCCCCCCACCCTTTTTTTAAATTGAAGTATAATCAGTTACAATGTGTCAATTTCTGGTATACTATACAGCTGCCCTTTGGAATTAACAAGGCCCTGAGAAGCCCTGTACTGAACAAAAACCTGTTTAACTTGTTTAACCAAGCACTTCCTAGATTCCTTTGCCCAGAGCCCCTCTTCCAGGAACCCTGTTAACATCCCAGGAATGAGCATTCTAGGCAGGGGACCGTGGGAATGCTAACCCAGCCTTCCTAATGCTGACATTTTAAGCTCTGTGCTTTCCAAACGTGCGGCCTCTCAGCACTGTTCTGTGGGTGCTTTCTGGCGGTTGCCGGGTGACACCTACTCCGCAGCCCCCTGAGAGGGTGGGAGAGAGCAGGAAACTCTCCCTGTGTTAAAAGCCACAAGAGGCTCCACTTAATGAGAGCAGTGTTTTCTCACTTAATCCTTCCCATCATCCTTCAAGATAAGCATTCCTCATTTTCCATATTTTCTCTAATTGCTTTTAGTTTATATTCCTAGTAGAAGCAGTTTTCAAATTCATATAAACACACACAAAAAAGAAACAAAAATGCCTCATCGTCCTATCACCCATAGAAAGCCTCTGTTAGTTCTGATGTCTGTCCCTTGGACTTTTCCCCTGTGTGTTTATAAATATTCTCTTTAAAAATCGGGATTATATTGTAAATACTGGGGTTTTTTTTCAATCACTTTTTTAAAAAAGACAGAAATGGAGTTACGTTGCAGCTTTTACTTCTTTTTCACTTCACACATAAGGAACATCCTTCCAGGTCTCTACTTATGACTGTGGTGATCTGGATTGTTAATGAGGAAATTGAGGATCAGAGACAGAAGTCACTTGCCCCAGGTCACACAGCTAGTGCGAGAGTGTCGGACACCGGAGCCCCGGTGTGGATGACACAGGAGCCTCGTGATTTGGTTGGGGTGGGGGAGCTGCAGGGTCTGAAGAAGTTCCTGCTGCAGGTGGGCTTAGAGATCAGGTGGTCCAGCCATGGCTCAGAGCAGAGAACTTCCCCAGAGCTTCTCAGCAAACAGCAGAGTTCCTTCACCTCCCAACATCTAATTCAGGCATCATCCCAAGACTCCACAGGCCTCTCCCAGGAGGCTGGAGCTGCCAGTTCCTGGGCTCTGGGAGTGTTTGCCCCCAAGTCCTCTGAAAAGTGATCCTCAACTATAAATAAGCTGGGCTCACATGTCCCGGCACATTGTGTGGGGGAAATAAAGAAATATCTAAAACAGCAGCTTGATTATGCCCAAGGTATGTATTTTTACACATGCCCAGATATAGTTCGCGTACAAATATGCTATTCATAAACTCAGCCCAGTGGTTTGAAGGAGACCATTTGCCTCGGTGGAGGCCGTGCACATGTGCAGTTAATAAACACACTCTGTCAGGGTCTAGGGGCATATTTTGAGAATTTATGGTAAAGGCTAGACCCTGAGGCAATTGCCTGATACTTGTACTAATTTCTAATGATAGGGGATAATTTTTCTTCCACAGGAACCGGTAATCAGTGAGGGCAGTGTTTCCCAAATCCCAGGCATTCACAAACCCCCTTCGTAATTTTGGCCACCCCTGAGCCATTTATACCATCACTTACTTAATACATTTCTTTAAATCAGCTCTCTCTTTTGGAACTTTAACACATACTGAAAAGGAATATTATCTCACTGCAATAAAATGGAAAACCAGCAACACTGACCATAAATAGAAGCTCGCCATAACAAAGAAATGTATAGCTGCAGGAATAAAAATGTGTGTCTGGATTCACTTGAAATCATTTTATTGTCACCATTCACTCACGCTTTAAAACCACAGCACTAATGGATTTAATTACTCCAGGCTCCCTAGTCCAGTGTTCTGTCCTACTCATCTCCCAGGGCCCATCGTGTCTGTCAACCTCATGTGACCCTCAGCTAGTGTCGCTTTTTCCCGTGGGTGGATCTCCGAACAGCTTAGGGTGGAGGCTCCTTGGGCCTCCAGAAATTCAGGGCAGCTGTCATTTCTTCTGTGTTCTTGAATCCCTGGGTCCAAGTGGCCATTTGAGGGGTAGGGGCAGCAGACTTAAGCTCAGGCTTAGAAAGAGAATGATCCCTTCCTTTTAGACAAAGGTTGCTTTTCATTCTCTAAGGAGCTATTTTGTTTTATGTGAAATTCGAATTCGTTTTTAAATGATAAAATATACCAGTTTAAAGCAGGGAAAAGTCACCTACCGGCTGAACACGATTATCTAATGTGAGTTCATACCACATTAACAGGATTGGGGGTGTGAAGTAGGCAGGACAGGAATAATGAAACCCATTTTGCAGATGAGAAACCTGAGGCCCAGACACGTGATGTCATCTGCTAAAATCACATATGTTGGAACCAGTTCTCTTCACAGTGCCACAGCCGCTTCTCTATTCAAGCCAGGAGTTACAAAACAAATGTACAAGCGCACATGCTTTTTTTCCATTTAAATTTTTTTAAGTTTTATATTTCCACACTGATAAATATTCACTATAACAAAACATTTTTAAAACACGACAGGAGTCCACAGTAATCCTGCCCCCAGAGAAAACCTCCATGAATGACGTGAGCTTTGCCATCCTTGACTTTTCCTGCACACATCCTAGCGTATCATTTATCTATTTTCCAAAAATAGAATTGCTTCATAAACATTGTTTTGTGATTCCTCCCCCCCCACCCCCACTAACCAATATATCTTGGCCATCCTTCCAAGGGCAGAGCTTTTAAAAACACATTTTAACAGAATAGAAAAGTTTTTTTTTTTTAGAAAAGATTTTAGATAAATATTGAAAGAGGTTCCGTCTCACTTCTGTTGGCTGTAGCAACTGCACCACTCCTGAGAAAAGGTACCCACTCCTTCATTCATTCATTCCTTTGTTCCTTCAACATACATAATTAAGGCAGTGTTACTTGTCAAGGGAAATATTAGCTCATGGGTACAATTTCCCTGAAAAGACTGGGAAAATTTAGGATTAGGGAGTGTGGGCAGCTCCTGGTGGGAACCCTGCCGGCACACTCAGCTAGCTTGACTGAGGCAGGAGGAAGGGTCTAAGAGGCAGAGAATATTAGATGGGGGAGACCTGGCTGGGGATGGGGGCCTGGTTTCCCAGATGGGTCCTGCTGTCCTTTTCCATTGAGTTTTCCATGGCAGCAGGCTGGGTCCTGGCCCAGGATTTTCCCTCCAGCCACCCTGTGCCTCCTTGTCCCCTCTCCCCGGCTGGCCCCCGCAGCTCTTGGAGCTGAGGGTAAGATGCTGGGGCAGAGGTGAATGTGCCTGTGGGGTGAAGGAAGGAGTGATGCAGGTTCACGTTTTTTGTCTAAGTCTTTGGGCCACAGCAGATTTCCAGGCCTATGGCCAGAACTCTCTCCCCACACCCTCGAGCTAGCTCTCCTCTCCTGTGTTTAGATTTTCTCATAGCCCGCTTTCCCCACGAGCCAAGGGATCTTCACCAAGTGCACAGCTGCCCCATTCCCTCCCTGACCTCGGCCCAGCCTATTATCCAGGGACCAGCACCATTTATTCTGGTGAGAAACTGAACTCTCACCCTCGAGCTGACCCTGCAGGGGTCCCAGCTAGAGGATTCGGGAGGACCCACTCCCCACCCTGCTTGGGCCAGAGCCCATTCTGCTCCCCACCACCCCGGCTTCCCTGGACACTGCCCTACCTTGGATTGCATTGTGTCTCAAGCAGTGTCTCTGGGCCCTTCTAGCCCAAACCACTTTCCAGCTATCTAACCAAAAGGGCAGAGAGCACCACCCTCATCCGTCCTGCCCCTCCGCAGTCACGTACGTGTTGACAGGGGCTTGCTGAGGACCACGTCCCTTCCATTGGCACTCTCGGCCATCTAATGGCTGCTGAGACAGGCAGGCGGAAGGAACATGGGATTTGGCACCGGAAGACCTGGGTTCCAGTTTTAATTCTGCCCCAGCTGTGAGACCCTGGGAAAATACCCTACTCCCTCCAAGACTTAAGACCTCCAAGTTTTGTCACCAATAAAATGAAGTCTGTGATCCTCTCTATCTCTTGGGCTTGTTTTGGGGGTCAGATGAGATAGGAGGGATTTTATCAGGGGAGGAGGGAGGTAATATAGGCAGGGGTAAACAAATTCAAACTATAAAGAAGTTTATATAATAAAACGTCTCCTACTGACAGCTCCCAGGCTCCCAGGCTCCCAGGTCCCCTCCCTAGAGACAACTACGATGACCAAGGACATTCAGTGCAAACATATAAGTGAACGCATCCCCTATACACGGTCCTGTACGGTACACATTTTGGAGATGGTCCTATATCAGCCCACATGGAGCTGCCTCCTTTTAACAGCTGCCTAGCATTCCATTGTATGAATGTATCCAAACAGATTTAGCTAATTCCCACCCTACAGATGGACTCTTGGATTGTTTCCAGTCTTTTGCTATTATAGACCGTGCTGGAGTGAGTATCATTTTCGTGCGTTTTTGTGTATGTGTATGAGAATATCCATGGCATGAAGTCCTCGAAGTGATGTTGCTGGGTCAAAAGGCACATGCAGCTTTGATTTTAAGATATCACCAGCTTGCCCCTGGAAGAGGGTGTATCAGTTGGTATGGCCACCAACAAGGCAGGACTGCCTTCCCCCAATCCCTCATCCATGAAGGGTGTTTTGAAACCTTTTGACCTTTGTTAATCTGATAGATGAAAATGGTATATTGTAGTTTCAATTTGCATTTCTTTTATTAGGAAGGAAGCTTGAAAGTGAGCTGCTAGAGGGGAGGTGGGCCCAGGACAGTTTGGGCACAGCCACCCTCCCTGCAGAGCTCCTGCCCACCTCACAGGTGCCCTCTGCCCCTTCCCAAGGCTCATCACGCTTCCCAACGGGGTCCTCCAGATCCTGGATGTTCAGGAGAGTGATGCCGGCTCCTACCGCTGCGTGGCCACCAACTCGGCCCACCAGAGCATCAGCCAGGAGGCCCTACTCCACGTGGCCCGCAGAGGTAAGGGGGCTGGATGGGCAGGGAAACCTGGGGGTTTCTGGAGTCTTGCCTTCATTTAGGTGACAGGGAGGTGATGAAGCCCAGAGAAGGCAGTGCCACCCAGCGAGTCAGAGATAAAACTGGGGCAGGAACCCAAGACTCCTGGTCCAGGGCTCCCTTCCTACAGAGGCTCTGTGTGTTCCCTTTGGGTTGGATGACACTTGCAGGGCTTAAGAGGTGAGGCGTCTGAGGATGGGTGTGGTGCCCTGAAGCCCTAGTCCTCGCCCACCTGTGTGCCCCGAATGCTGTGGGCACTGGGGGATTCACTTGCTGGGCACTGGCTCCCTGTGGTCTGGGGCTCCTGTTTTCTGCATTTCTCTGAAAAGCTCTTGTCCCAGTGTGATGCAGTAGGAAGGGCGCAGGCTTTGGGGTCAGAATGACCTGGCTTGAATCCTGGCTTCTCTACTCTCCATCTGCGTGACCCTGGGCTCCTTATCAAATGTCCAGCTCAGGGAGGTGGTGAGGATAGCTGAGATAGGGTTGGGAAGTGCCTGGTGCCTAGTGGGTACTCGCTGGATCTCACTTCAGGCCTCCCCCAAGGGCCCCTCACTTGCCATGGCATCTCCCTCCACCTCCCACCCCTCCACACATCTCTTCCCATCCTGGCCTCCTCCCCTCCCACCCTGCTTCCCTGGCTTAGCTGGTGAGCTGCTCTCTCTCAGTCTGATTTGCTGTCTCTCCAGCTCCCGGGGTCTCTGCCTCCACCTACTGGACAAGTCGGGTATTCAGCATATAAACCCAGGGACCCAGGGTCACGCTGAGAACTTGGCAGGGAATTAGTGTTGGGGGGCTGCCAACCTGGCAGAAACTCGAGCCCAACCTCTGCCTTTCCCAGATGGGAACCGAAGCCCTCTGGAGAAGGGACTTGCCCAAAGTCACACAGCGCACTGATGGCAGCACTGGAACTAGAAACTATGACTGTTGACTGCAAGTCCGGACTCCAAGTCTACTCATGGCCCTGCCAGTCCTCTGCCCGGAGGGTGGGTTTGATCTGACAGGAAGAATGGGGTGATGTGTCGGAGGCCGGTTATTCCTTTCCTGGCTCCAAGAGCAAGAGCTCTGAGCTCCTGTCCCAGCTCTGCTGAGCTACGCAGCTGCTTTCTCCATCTGTCAGATGCAACCCTGACTGCTCCCTGCCCCACCTGCCTCACCAGGTGACTGTGAGCATCAGGTGAGGTACTGCATGTGAAGATGCCTGATGGTAAGGCTGCCTGCTGACCTGCCCTCTCTCCAGGGTCCCTGGCATCCACCGCAGGGCAGGACGTGGTCATTGTGGCAGCCCCGGAGAACACCACCGTGGTGTCTGGCCAGAGTGTGGTGATGGAGTGTGTGGCCTCGGCTGACCCCACCCCTTTCGTGTCCTGGGTCCGACAGGGTAAGTGGAGGGAGGGGACCTGAGGTCACGGGAGAGGGAGGGTGTGGCATCTCACGCATCCCCAAGTCAAAGAGCTGTAAGGGTGACTCTGCCACAGTCACCGACCTTTGATGTGGCAGGAACTCCTCTCCCAGGGCTGAGTGTGGGTGGGGGAACCTGGGCAAATTTAATCATCAATCCGTGTAGCAGGTTTCCTTTATGAATGAAGCGCGCTAAGCCTGGCACTCACAAAATCATGCTTGAGACCTTACTGAAGATGGGCAGTGGGCTCGGTTCTCCACCTTACATGTTTCCAGTCCTCACAATAGTGTGTGAGAGCAGCAGAAAGGTGCCAGCGAGTCGGGTGGAACTAGGACCCACTGCTGATCTGTTTAACTGCACAGCACCTCCTGGTCCACCCAGTGTGCTGCCACCTTTGTGTGCCAGGCTTCATGCTGGCACAGTGAATAAAATACCTGGATGAGAGTCGGCGGGATGCGGTGCCACGCTCTGAACTCACAGTCTGTGTGAGCAAGATAAACACACACCCATGAAGAGAGGCTTGACAGCATCAGGCAGCAAGTGATGAGTGCCAAGTGGGACTGTATTACAGGAGATGCTATCAGGGTAACGAGAGTGCTGGGCCAAACGTCGCCTTGCATGCAACTCACTCTCCTGCCGGAGCCTCCCAGAGCTCCTGGGAGGAGGGCAGGCGCCAGGGCTATTATTCCCAGGGGGCAGGCGAGGAAACTGAGGCTCAGAGAGGCAGGTGGAAAGCTAAAACCCAAACTTTAGAGCCTGCTCACTTTCCGGGACACTACTCCTGCAGCCCTGCAGGGAGGAAAAGCTAGGATTATTTTTGTTTCCATTTGTCCATAAGACGTGACTTGTCCCGAGTTGACGGCAGAAGTAAGTCTTAAGCTCAACTCTCTTTACCCTTCTTCCCTGGCTCAGTCTGTTACCCTACACTGCCTCCTTTTTGTAATTTTGTGTCTCACATTCAAGTATATATAATGATGAATACAGAGAGTTTAAAGGAAAATAATAAACCAGCTATGTACCCCCACCGAGGTGATGAGAAAGAACAGCGCTGGTGTCTGCGCCTCTGTGACCTGCCCAGCCTCATTGGACCTGTGACACTTGCCTAGTTAAGGGGATCCTGGGGCCAGCAGGACCCTCGTACTATTACTGGGGTTGCCTGGAAGTTCTGTTATCAATGTTTCTCAAATCCTGACCAGGCATCAGTGTGACCTAGGGAGCATCTTGAAACCGCAGACTCCCTCCCTTCACGCCTCAAGAGTTATGACCCAGGATTCTTAATGCTTAACAAATGCCCTAGGTCCTTGCTACCAAAAGTTTGGTCTTTGGGCCTACCTCCTAGGCATAGTTAGAAGTGTAGTATCTGAGGTGCCATAGGCTTCTGCATCTTATTAACAAGGTCTCCTGTGATTCTGTGATTTGTGTGCATGGTAAGGATATATGCTATCCCAAGAGGGTCCTGACACCTCTGGCTCAGGGATCTCACTTAGAAAAACTCTGCTAATAGCATCCCTGGACAGAGACTGGGAAGAGAGAGGCTGGAAAAGGACTTCATTCCTGACCCTGGGCACTATACCTTTCCTAGGAATTTACCCTACTAAGTCAGGGGAGGGGGCATGACTTTTTTGTTTTGTTTTGATTTGGTTTCTTCTGATGGCAAAAGTTGTACGTATTCATTGTAGAAAACTAGGGAAAAGCAGAAACAGAAAACATCCCACCACTCAGAGATTAAAATTGTTAACATATGAGTGTATTTCTTCCAGACTTCTTTCCTATGCATATGTACATTTTTGCCTCAAATTGAAAGCAGGCTGTATTTACAGTTCCAAGTCCTGTTTTCATTCAATAGTGTATCATAAGCATCTCCCCATCTTTGAAACTTTTTCAAAAAATAATTCTAATAACTGTGATATTCCATCATTCGGATTTAGCCATAATTTAATTAGCTATTTCCTACTATTGACTTTTTCAGTCCTTCCCAGTTGTCCACTACTACGGTTAAGACTGCAGGGATCTGCCCTATTCACAGCTCCCCAGCATGGGTGCCCACACTGGAATCCCTGGCTTCAAGGTCAAGGTGGAGCCCCTGTCTAGCCCTGTCAGCATTTACTCTTTCTTCAGTGTTGCAGCATACTGGTTTTAAAAACTTTCCCGAGTTGATAGGTGAAAATGAACATCTGTGTTTTGATGTGCGTTTCTTTGATCATGTGAAGTTGCAGACTTTTTTGTTTCTTGCCCATTTGCATTTCTTCTCTGGATTTTCTGTTTATGTCCATAAGGCAAGGGGTTTTTAAATGGTTTTCATTTCACATCAAGATAAAAGTCTGTGTGTATTCAAATGTTTGGTTCTGGTCAGACCTTTCCAGCCATATCTTATCATAGCACTGGCCTAAGCCCATATGGAGGAGTGTGTCCTTCTTAAGAGAAAGGGATTTAATAATGATGGTAGTAGTAACAACTGATGAGTGTACCGAGCACCTATTATGTGCCTACATGGTGCTTGGCAAACTCACAGACCTTATTCATTCCACCCTCAAAACAGCCAGCCCTTCCAGCTACAGACTATCTCCCCATTTTGCAGACAGAGACACTAGGGCTCGGAGAATGCCATCGGAAAGTAGAGGAAATGAGATCCCAGCCAGAGGCCGTTGCGTTCTCTTAACTTGGGCGTAGAGGACCGCCGCCCTTCCACGAGGTCCGGAGAGTGGATGGAGAGGCAGCCCTTAGCTCCCCCCTCTAGCGCTCTCCCTCCTCCCGCAGATGGGAAGCCCATCTCCACGGATGTCATCGTTCTGGGCCGCACCAACCTACTAATCACCAGCGCGCAGCCCCGGCACTCTGGCGTCTACGTCTGCCGAGCGAACAAGCCCCGCACACGCGACTTTGCCACCGCCGCTGCCGAGCTCCGCGTGCTGGGTGAGGGGGGGGTGGGGTGGGGGGGGCGGAGAGCAGATGTGGGGGAGATCGGATTGGGGAGGGTGAGCTGGGGCCGAGGGAGGGAGGACTGGGGGAGGGGGGAAATGGGGCAACGTGGGGTGT